CTGCTGAGGGCCGTTCAGAATCCTGCCTGAGGGACCTGCACATCCCCTTTACCGTGCCAGTCCCGAACCAATGGACTCTCGGGCAAATTATAACACCTCTGGGTCTTGCTCTCTTTATCAGTAAACTGAAGAAGCTAACCAGATGATCTGAGGTCTCCTCTGGCTCTAATTCTATACATCTTTTGGTTTTGTTTGAATGTTTAAGTTCCTACTACTCATAAGAGCTTTGCATTTTAAGCTCTATGTAGTTCTTTCGTGAAATCAGAAAAAAAAAAAAAATTTACATCTATGGTAAAATTTTGGTGATTCAAGTATCTTTAACAAATAAACATAGGTAAGGTTCCAATGAGATTAAGATTTAGATGCTCCCATCCTTAACTGCTTTTTAGGAGAGGTTTCTAAAATATTCTTGCTTCCTTCACTTTTGTACTGCACTATAAATACTAAGGCATGAAATGTGAAACAGGACCTCACTGGTATGGCTGTGGGTCTCTAAGCGTGTGGACAGGAATGGCTGCCACCCCAGCTTTAAGGTGGCATGCTGGCACCCTCAGGGGCTGCAGCTCTCAAGTCCTGGTGGTGAATCCTCCCTTCAGCTTACCTCCCCAACCCTCAGCTCAACAGAGACACACAATTCTGTCTACAGAATGTCTATAACTCACTGCTCCATTAGCCGTTCTAATATTAGAAATGGGAGGCACTACTTCTGCTACTACTTGTTACTTTCCACCAGATGTTTCTGCCACCACTATTTCAACTCTCACTGAATGCAGGGTCCCCTTGGAGAGGCTTGCTTCTGACAGCAGTTAGGGGAAGGCATAGCAAGGGCCCTCAGGATCTCAAGCCCCTCTCTAGGGAAAAGCCACACAAACACTTTCAGGAAGTGGTATCGCCTCCTTGTGGTCTTTAAGGGTACTGACAATAACATAGATACACATGTAGTCTCAACTACAGGCACATATTCCAAGTCCTCCTCAGTACTGCTCTATAGAAGAATGGGTAAGAGCCAAGAGTTTCTCACCTGTGTGCAAAAGTACATGAAAATTCACAGAATTTTTCCTCAACTTCCAACATAAAACCATAAAACAGCATTTGATAAACACAACCTTTGCTCACAAGAGCAACATCCAAAGCAACGACCAGTGAGGTCTGTGCTGTAATTATAGACAATGTAAGACAAATTTGGAATTCCTGCATCTCTATAGTTCACAAAGGAAATGTAAAGGAAGTAGTAAAAGTACGTTAACTCAAACATCAAAGTGTCTAAATTTACCACAACCAGTAACAATTAAAACAGATGCTTATGTGCCTCTGCTATTTTGCCTGAAGAACCTTCACTACAATGACAGTGACAAGGGCAACTTTACTTAAGATTCAGGAATCAGAGAACCCATCCTTTACTTAGTGTTTGCACAGGGCTCATGAGAGAGGATTGGAAGATTAAATTACCTCACATGGATACAACTTATTGGGTTCTGGTATCAACCAATTAAAATAGGAAATGAAGTAATTAAAAACCCTCAATCTGCAAGATCGCAAAACTCCTGATATTGAACAGGAGCCCAAAAGTCACAGTCAAAAGAAAGACAACAGACTATAACAATTGCTTGGCAAAAACTCATTCCCCAAACTTTCAACTAACATAAAGGAACATATATTTAGAATGACAAACAGATTAGAAGTTGGGAAGAGGAAATACCAGTTCCTGATATTCCCTAAAATAGAACATGCACACATTCTTCCGTGAGAAAAAAAAAAAGTACCTGTATAAAGCATATATGTGTTCATTAGTCTATCATTGACCCAAAAGAATTAAGACATCCATATACCAAAAAAAAAAAAAAAAAAAAAAAATCCAAAAAAAAAAAAAAAAAAAAAAAAAAAGGCATCTTTGAATATTTTACCTTTAAGCAAATGGCTAATCCACTGAAATCAAAGATGAAACTTCTGACTAAATGACTCAGAAATCACTATAATGTCCTGGAAAATTAGGTACATTTTTAAGGCTTCAGACTTTAATTGCATAAAATAGCAATCAAATGCAACAACCGACTTAAAGCAGTAATTTGAAGGACTGTGTTAACAGTACAACAGATTTGGTAATGTCAAGGGCCAGAGCCAAGATAGAAAGCCTAGACACATGACTTCTGAATCTAAGCATTTTGACCAAAATCAGGCAAGATTATTTTTAAAACTCTTTGATTATTTATTATTTCAACAAATATCCACAGCCCATTGTGACTGAGGCTGTTCCTGGTGCTGGGGAAGCAACGAGGAACAAGCGGATCTGTGCCAGCCCTTCCAGAGCTTCCAGTGGGTTTAGGAAATCCACCGTCCAAGGTCTCTCTATTCCGCTTCTGTAAACATTCCTTGACATATGCAAATACACTGGGCACCCATCCCAGCGCCTGCTCTCTTCTGCCTGCCACTTCCCCGCCTTTCCCCTTTATCTGAAACTCCAGCCACACAGGACAGGCAGCCCTCTGTTCCTCTGGCTTGTGAGGTTCAGCGCCACTCCAGGGCCTTTGCACTTGCTGTTCCCTCTGCCTGAACCATTCCCACTCCAAATCTCCAGAAGCACAGGCCTCTTCCTGTCCTTCAACGTTGGGCTCATCTCTCTCCATCTCAGAAAGGCTTCTAGGACCACTTAATCTAAAACAACAGTACTCTGCTCACTCCCTCTCTTCACCATGGCAACCCTATTTTATTACTTTTCCAGTACTTATCACGATCTGATATTATCTCCTTTATTGCTTCTCTGCTTTTTATCTGTCTCCCACTATCAGACTCATAGAGGTGCCTGATTGTACTGTGCGCTGCTATATTCTTAGTCTCTAGAAGTTGCTTGAAATATAACAGATGCTCAATGAATACTTATTTAAGAAGAGCAAATATAGGCAACATTAGCAGTTTGTTACCACAATGACAGGTACCAAATAATAAAGAAAACAAAAAAAAAAACCACTTTAAATGCTAAAAGATCTGTCTGATCAGTTAAAACAAAAAGATTATAGCTAACATTAATCTTAAAAATATTCTCAAAAATAAACATAATGGAAATATAAAGCTCAATTTGGCTAATAGTAAAATTTTATAATGTATTAGGCTCAATTTCTAGCATTAGCAGTACCTCTACAATTTATTCTGTTCTGAGCACTCAAGAGACTCCGATTTTTAATTTAAAATAAAAGAGCCAAATATTTTCTAAAAGCATACTCCCCCTTAAGACTTTATTAATAACCTTCCAAATTGTACAATTTGTAACCATATTATAGCAACATTAAAATGTGAAATATTGGTGACAATCTACAAAAGCAGGGAATTTAGTGCCTAATAGCAAACAAGTTTTATAAAACACCAACTACCATCATCTTCAATTTAATCAAAGGTACAAGACTTTTCTCCATATTCAAAAATATTTAAACTCTTGAGAATTTTTCTCACAGATTATCCTTAAAATTTTATATCTGTTCTTTTATTCCTTGTGTTAAAACAGAGAGCTAAGGTGTTAATCAAGGACTACGACTTTAGTTACTGGTCATAACGGCTCATGCTTCACCACAAAGACACCAAAAATCTTTATGGATCACTCTGAAATTATATAAAAGCAAAAGATGTACATCGGAGAGAAGGGGCATTTATTTCCTGGAATGTGATGCAAAGAAGTAAGTTACCATTGCCTTTGGGCCTTTGGGAATAATTGAAATCTACTTAAAAACCTCAAAAACTAATATTTTACCATTTTATAGCAAAATATCAGAAACAACCTACACATATCTCAATAAAGAAGAGGTTAAATCAATTACGGTTTCTCCTTAATGGAGTACTCAGCAGCTGTGAGGCAATGAGACAGCTCTCTTAGGTACTGATATAGAGACTGCCAAGATTTAGTACTCTGCAGGGAGGGTGGGGGAGCTGGTGCAGAACAGAGTATACAATATGTCCTTATTTGTGGAAAGACAAGTAAAAAGAACACGTATTAAATGTTTATATTAGCATAGGTTATATCTGGAAAAATATACACAAAGAAGCTAGCAACCCTGGTTCCTGGGGAGAAGAACAGGGCATCAGGGGAGAGAGGTATACTTTCCATTCTATAGCTTTGGTATCTACTGAATCTTCTACAGTGTGCATAAATTGCCTGCCCCCAACATTAATATGATACATTTTAATATTGGAATATTTTATACTATTACCAACACATTACTCAAGGATAACCATCGAAAAGCAAAAGCTTTCAAAAATCACACGAGTTTATTCTCTTTGACCGCACAGTTCCTGATCCTTAATTCCCAGAAGAGAATCCAAGTCTCTGCTAATTAAAGAGGCACGCTTGTGATCTCACCTACTACAAAGCAAATAAGCCTCAATTCAATTCTTGGAAGGGAAATAGCTGCTCGGTTCACCTAAAAAACATACCTCATATTTAAATTGAGCGTGTAACTACCTAACGAAGCCTCCAAACCAATATAGTTTCTACCTGGCTATAAAAGAGAAAATCAGAGACAATTAAGAGGGCAGTCTCCTGTTTTAAAAACACACTATACTTAGGATTCCTTTCCTCTGCCAGGCTCAGACAAGGAACTCTTCTGATATTAATGAAACATGACTTCAGATCTGTGGCAAAATAATCATTTAAGGGTAGGAGCAAGAATCATTTGCACTAAATAAACACTTATGAAAGTATCTTCATCTGTAGGGGAGAGGAGTTTGCTTTAAATTTAAGTTAGGAATCATTTTTTGTAACGCTGACTGATACTACTAAATCACATTAATTTTACTCCAAGCAATTTTTAAAAATTGAATGACAAAGCTGAAACTGAAAACGAACAAATAGCAAAGAAAACTTTAAATTGAAAATTTCCATTCAATGTATCTTGAACACAGAGAAATGCAAAAATCACATCCACACAAACGCCACTCACAACAGTATACATGTTATATCAATATTTGACTGTATTAAACACACCCACAGAAAAAAGAACACAAAGATACCCAACTGCAAATACAAGCCCTCATATTTTTTGGTAGCCGGAGGTGAAGATCAGAATCACATCATGCAGACCCAGATGTAAACTCACAACACTTGATGTGCAGTTTTCTGTAGGTCAGAACTCGTGATTCCAGCTCTGTCCTATTAGACAACACATCAGATGTGGCATTTTTCACGAAGCCTAACTGAGATCGCCAGCACGTTAACTTTGCGTTTAGTCAGTATAGCGCCTTGGGATATAAGCATAAAAATACAAGTAAATCAAATAGTAGAATATAAACACAGAGGGGACGAAGAACTAGTTTAAGGAAGAGTTCCAGCAATGGATCACGAACTCATTTGGTTGATTACATCTCCAAAAGGAAAATAGAAATTAAAGCTCCTTCCCATCCCCCAGGTAGCTTCTGGTCTCAGAAACCCTACGTGGGGCAGAAGTTTGCAAGCGCGGAGTCGGCGCCCTGCGGGACCCGAGAGTGGCCCAAGGGCGCGCGGGGAGCAGCGCGACACAGAGCGCTTGCCCCTCCCCCGCGTCCGGGTCACTCATCTCGGACGCGCTCCAGGAGCTGGGACCAGAGGCGGCCGGAGCGCTGCCCCTCACCCTGCCCGGGCCGCCAGGGCTGGCGGCGACGCGCCCAGGGAACCGTGCTCTCGGCTCTGCGGCTGGCGCTGCCCGCGCCGCGCCCACCCGCGCCCAGCACTCACCTGCCG